TGCATTTGAATAATGCAGTCATGGTAGTCATGGGAATCCATCTCCACTACTACCTTCAACATGAAGGTAATTTGTACACTGTAATTTAAAGGTATTCCATATTTTAACTATCAACAGAAAGGACATTTAACAGAATAGAAATACCTTAAAATATATAATGTGGGAAATTTGCCTAAAATATATACAACAAAATATATTTATAAAAATGTTTAAAAAGTTGTAACATTCCGAAAGTGTCAATGCATTAAAGTCTGGAAATAGAAATGTATTTATAGTATTACATACAGTACATTGTAATAGATAAACATTATATCATAATACATTCTTTATCACTTGGCATGTGTTTAAACAAGCAATTTATTGGTTACATAAGTTGTGCTATGCTGTATTGAAGTGGCACTCTATTTCTATTTTGCAGGTGTTATGATTAGTTTGGATTGACTTGTTTGTAATAAGCTGTGGTGCTTAGGAGGAAATCCAGAACCTGTTCTATGTGAGGCAAGAGCTCAGTCATAGCACTACACCTAACCAAACTTATGCTTTTTTATTACTAACAGTGATTTGGATTGACAGATCTGAAGTGTATTGAATACAATGTTATACTTTTTATAGGTATGCAATTGTTAATGATTAAATTAGATGTAAGAATGGAGGTCAGAATGTGGAGAACAATCAGGCTATCTCATATACTTAGATGTCATAGAAAAATGTGCTGCAATAACATAATTACCTCCTCCAATATTCCTTCTCAAAGTATCCACCATCACTGCCACACTGAGACCCGTGAACCCAGCAACCCAACAATGAAACATAGAGAGGAAAATACATATATATGAAACTGATTCTCGATATTCTCTCTCTCTCTCCCTCTCCCTCTCCCTCTCCCTCTCCCTCTCCCTCTCCCTCTCTCTCTCTCTCTCTCTCTCTCTCTCTCTCTGATAATTAGTGTGTGGTGTGTGTGTGTGTGTGTGTGTGTGTGTGTGATAAGTAGCATGTATGTGCTTGATGGTGGTGTCTCAAGACTCTAACACCTTATTTTTTGACACAGGAATGTTCAATGGTCTCCAGCTTTACAACATATCAGATAGGTTGAGCTGGGTTGTCTGAGACTCCAGGTTTCTTCCCATCTCTTCTTCTGGCACAAGGCTTATAAGCATGTGTGGTCATGCTCAGATGTTCAAGGTGGGTAGTAGCGGTTGAATTCAGGTCCTCATGTTCCCGATAAACTCACTTTATCCACGAGCCATCTCTCAAGCCCCTCAATGTGTTTTTGAGCAGCTTATTATTGAAAGATGAATCTTATTAACTTGGCAAGTCATTTTTATTTTGACTTTAGTGACACACAATAATGTTAGTACATATTGGTCTGGAAATAAGTATTTGGAAATTTTTTTAAAAAGCTTAGTTATAAATATATTTCCATGGAGAATATTCCTGGCATTCAAATTATAACACTATCAGAGCTGTTGATGCTAAATAAGGCTTAATTTTTTTCTGATATAATTTTTTTTATTGCAAAACATGTGAGTGTTTTTGCCTTTACTGTAAGCAAAGATGAAGGCTCTAATTTTGTTCGGTCATTTTTAAATTGCTTATGTAAAAAGTTATATTGCCATTTTCTCAAAGAGTGGAGATCATCACTCTGCTTTTTATTAACACCATTTCTCTACTACTGTGTCATTAAAGACTGTTTAACAAAAAGTAGGAATTTGTCATATATATATATACATATATGTATATGTATATATATATACACACACATGAAAATATCTGCATGCATATACACATATATATGTACACACATATGCATATCCATGTGTGCAAATGGACACATGAATGCATCAATATCTATATCTATATCTATATATATCTATATATATCTATTTATATATCATCCAGTTATTTATTATCAGCCTATGCACATGTAGGCATTTGTGCTATGGTGCACTTGTAAAGGTCTGGGGACATGTTGCCATGTGGTCAATTCATCCTATTATCATGTGGATTCTGGGAATTGAATTCAGGTCTTTGAAATTCATAGCCAAGGCCCTTACTAATGGAGTCATCTTTCCATCACCTGATCTTTTTCTTTTCATTGAGGATACATAGTATTCAACTACATGTATTCATTTGAACTTTGAACATTTTTTTTCACAAGGTAGACAAAAGTACTTGCTGCAGTGGAGAAATAAGAGCTATATTTTAGGCTCAGGCTGCATCAGATCTTTATTTATGTAACATCCTGAGTATAATTATTTGCTTTATGTTTCAAAGTGGTATTGCAAGGAAGTAGCAAACTGCTGAGGAGGAAACGGTGGTTTTTCCATTAGTAATATGGTGTTTAAAAATCTGATTTTATCCATTAATATCTTTCAATGCTCATCAAATATTCTTTTATATGAAAATAATGCCAACAGAATCATTATATCAGTACTGATATTTAGAATCTAACATGTATTTAGAGGCAGGGGGACCTTCCTGTTATTGATATTCAATTTTCCATTGGGAGCTGGAGATATTTCCTTAACAAATCTCATTTGTTGGACAATAATGACACCCGTCATTGTTAAGAGACTTAGAAATGATGTACAAGATGAGTAACATGGTGGATATCACAAATGTTTATAATATGTTGAAAATTACCATGATGCATATTGTTAAGAATTTTGAATCATGCTTGAAATCTAGCTTAATAAAGCCATTTGCAATTTCTTCCCTCTGTAATATCCAAAAATACAATACCAAAATTTGAAAGTGTCAGAGAAAGGGCAAATTTCCTGGAAAGCAAAAGAATCAGATCTAGATTCAATTACTAGAACTCCCCCTCACCTGCTATAAAAAAAGCGAGTAGAACTGTGATGTAGACAGTCTAACCTAATCTCTAAGCTTCAGGCCATTGAAACACTCAGTCTCAAGGAAGGCAATGGAATTTCTTCAGATGACACCTGAGATTATGCTATGTTCTCCACATGCAGTTCTGATCAGTCGGGACACCATTTACAAAATCTGGGCAAGTTCTAACCAGGTCATATCCTAGAAGGGGAGGGTTATTTATACAATTTTAACTTGTGAATATTGCACACACCAAATACATGGAATAGTTTCCTGTCAATGAGTGGTTACTGTAGTGTTCCTTCTTCCTAGCATTCCCAAATATTCAGGGTCAGTGACAGCAGCTAGAGAAACATGCACATGTCTCCATACATGTCCTGCTGATTTCAGAGGATAGGTTTCCTTATACTTGGTTTTGCTTCAGTGTTAACCCTCACCAAATTTCAAAGGGAAAGAAAGGCCTATTGTTAAAGCAGACTCTGCTTTCACTCATCATGTGGCCCTGCCACCCAGTGTCAAAAAGACTTCCTGGAGGATCCATAGCAATTCTGAAGATATAAACTCTTGAGAAATTAACTTTGTCAATGAACATAAACATGTTTTGATAAAACACAGAATAATATTTTATATGTAAATGAAAAATGACTTTTCAACTGAATTGCTCTTACATAACTAAGTTTTTCATGCTTATAAGATTGATGAGTTTCAAGAAATGGTGCACAGGCTCTCAAGAAACAAAATGTACATACGCATACGTTGCATGTCTTTCACAGGAGGTGAATGAGGAAATCCAAATCTTAAGTCAAATGGAAATAAAAAACAGTTTGGGAATTTCATGGCTTATTACTTTAATAAGCTACTTTAACCAAAACATCTTTTTAAATTTTTTTTTTGTTAAAATTAAGTAGTCTGATGTTATTCATTTTAAACTTAAACAGCAGGTAAAAGTGTCATTAATCATGTAATGTTAAGTGAACATAAACTCAGTATTTCCAAGAATGAAAAATGAAGAACAAATACCTCACATAATAATGACAACGATGACTTTTAGAAGAAATATCACAAGAAACAGAGCTGGAATTTACAACGTGAAGCAATTAAGAGCTAAATTAAATCAACATTGTTAGCCCTCCAGACAGAAGGAATCCTCTCCCCTGACATGCCTGGCTGTTATTAAACCAAGTAAGGAGTTTTGTGTATTCATAACTTAGCCATTGGAAACTAGTCAGATTGGGAAACAGAAAGATTTATTTGGGGAGTCTTTAGGGTTGACATTTAAATCTTTAAACATAATCAAGTGAAAATACAAACGTATAATTTCCTTGGGTGTTAGAAGTTAAAACCAAGGCAAAATTGGGTTGAGGGGGTCATTTTAGAGTTAATTATTTTACTTGCTTTCTGTCTTGTACCATCATTGTTTGTAAAGAGGATATCATGCTTCATAAATCTTTTTACATATTAAAAAGCAAACTCAAACCTACATTTAAAAATCATTGTTCTGAGGAGAAAGGGAGAGGGGAGAGGGAAACATGGGTGAAGACATGCGCATGTCTCTAACAGTCAAAGGAATAGACAATTGCTGGTACAAAAGAAGGATATGGACCACTTCCTGTCAAGAGCATGAGTTCAATGTGTATCACCAGGGAAGAATGTTCTTCACTACATGTAGGCTTATGGTGTGGAATAGAACTTGGCTTGTTCCCTTTCAAATATCAAGACTAAGACAGCAAGCTTCCTACACACCTTAGGGGAAGCAGTGACATGAGGGCTGACATCTTCTTATAGTTGTATTCCCATTTCAGCTCTTCAACCTCACCTTGGCAGAGATAGCAGAGGGTTGTTTTGCATTTTGTCTGAGATGACTTATAAGGATATGAGGAAAGAAAACTTAGATTAGAGAATCTCTGATTATTAGGTTCTCAGTGTCACAGCTAAGTCAGGCAGGAAAATTAAAAAAAAATTCTACTAAATTCTCTGGCTAAGGAAATTTTCGGTCCTCCTCACACATTTTTTCTTTGTCTAATGGCACATGAAATGATCTGAGGATAATTTTTCTGTACTGAAACGACAACAACAACAACAACACTACTTACCTTACTACAGGAGCCTTGACATAATTCCCACCTTATTTTCCTTTTGAAATGTATTTTTAAATATACATTTTATCTCCTGTCCCTAGAGGCATTGCAGGTATAGCTTCTTTGTCACAAGTGTCTGTGTAGGGGGCACAGGGGAGACAGGGTGTGTACATACTCAGTATTCTGACCTATGAACATCTGAATGATTAGTAGACTAACAGTCACTGATAGAAGAAACTGATCCTGAGACAACCAGTAGTCTAGCACCAGACTGACCTTGATGGGCTCTCATGACAGGGAACAATCTGGAGCCTAGAAGAACCCTACCTGAGACTGTGAGCCCCAGAGGGAGTGAGCCTGAGACAACCAACACTCTCAATGGACCACATGGATGGGCAGGGAGAAGAGAAGGCCACCATACTGTCAACATGAGACCTAGAAAGGGAGCTAGCTGAAATGATCTAAGTCTGATGCTGCACAAGCTCTAGGGGACAGACTATGTCCACGGTGACCCCTGCAAGGAACCATAAGTCAAGTACAGGGTGTAGCCTTTCTTAGACCACTCATGAAATGACTCCAGACACACAGAGACCCCAGGTGCCACTAAGAGAAGTAAGTAAGTGGTGGATGAAATGAGAAAGAAACAAATGGATGTGGAGACAATGGAGAGAGGCAGAAATGGAGAAAAAAGAATAGTGAGCAACAGCCTGATGTGAGTAGCCAGTCATGCTACTTAGGATCATTGTGGAGTCCTAGCCCGTGCTGCCACCAGAAAACTCATCTGAGTCCGTGGCCCTCCAGGAGCACTGGTCTGTTGCCATCAAAGGTCAGGCAGATATCACTAGTCTGGACTGCTGCTTAGGAATATATTTTTGTCTGAGGCTATGAAGAACTGTCCCCACTCCTCACCTGAGCATCATGGGAAATCTATCCCTGACTGCAGAAAGCAGCAGAGTTGACCATTTCCCTAGCTAGCTGCAATACTTGGAAGAACATTTCAGTGAATTACAGATGCTGAGTGTGAGCCAGCCCTGATGATATAAATGTGGGAGAGATGGTTCTACAGTTCATGGACAGGAGAGAGATAGCATTATCTTCTTCCCTCACCTCTTATCACCAGTGGCAGGAGGGGAACTTGGTCCTGAGGTCATGAGAGCAGGAGAGACAGCCTTGCCTTTCATTGGCTGCAACACTCAAGAGAACTAGCTTTTTACTGTAGACTTGATCCTGGTTGGCAGGGTCTTGAACAAGCCAATCCTGAGGTATAAGCATGGGAGAAGTGGTCTTGCCACCTTTCTGAGGTATGGTGGCATGGGCAAAAGAGAGATGTCACTCCACTCTCAATCCTTGCCAACAATGGTAGGCAAGAAAGCTGGTATCAAGGCCATCCAAGCAGGAGAGCTGTCTCTCTCCCTCACCTGAGTACCATAGTACAGCTGGCCTTGGATGTGGGGTTGAAGACAAGCAGGCCCCCAGAGGATGGGAGAGCCAGCCTTGCATCTTATGTGCTGGGAAGCAGTTAGAATGAGAAAGAAAATCTCTCCTCTCCTGCCTCGTCACTCACCATCTATGGCAGGTAGAAGAGCTGGCTCCCATGAGTCTGGGAGAAATGGTCATGTCCTCATTGCTGACACACTCAGCAGAGTAGGCCCTACATCTCACCTGGGCAGCAAGATATAGGTGACTCTGGTTGCAGGGGCTGTAGGGGAGATGTCCTGAAGGCATAAAAGCAGGAAAGCAGGAGAGTTGTCCAGCTCAGATACTTCTCAGGCATAAATCCAGAGCATTGACTTGGCCCACCTTAACATATACCCCATCAATGAACTGCTGGAATGCATGATGGAGCTTGTCCTAGAAATCAAACACTACAAGATCTCCATGACAACTAAAGGATACCCAAGAGAAGTCCCAGTGAAGTTCCAGTATTAATAGTATATCAGAAGCCAGAGGCCTTGTACCAGACCAATGAGTCATTGCAAAGAACATTTGTATGCCAAGAAGTTTGGACAGAAAAGCGTATATTGTGGGACACACTGTAATATCCTAAAGCTTCCTCAATGAGAACTTTTTTCCTCTGTTGTGTGAAAGGTTGCAAGGTTAGAGGGTGAGTATGAGAAGATAGAAAAGTAGTAGGATTGGGGCGCATAGTGTGAAATTCACAAGGAACCAGTAACAAGTTAAAAACATTGTTTTATAGAATAATAAAAACATATTATTCTACAGAAATCTTGCATGCACCCATATCTATGTATTATCTTGAGTAAATGGTATCTTCAGAGGGCAGAAGAATGTGCAGAATTCCCTTGAAAGGAAGTATAAACAGTTGTGAGCAGCCATTAGGTGCAGAAAACCAAAGCTTGATCTTCTACCCAGGAATAGGTGCTCTTAATTCCTGAGCAATCCTTACAGACCTTCTCTTATTTTCTTAAAATATATCAGCACATAATTGTCAGAATAATTTGTATGCTATGATGTGATATTTTGTTACATGTAGCTTGGTCACCCAAAGCAGAAAGGAAAAATAAAGATACAAACTTATAGATATTAGACACTAGAAATTCTACTAAAAATTATTATAGCTAATAATGCAGGAAAAGTGCAAGATAAAATGATCATGAACCCCCCCTCAAAAAAAAGTCATTGTTCTATTATTGTCAGTGTAGAAATCAATTTCAACGTGGAAGGGCTTATCTAGGTTTGTATTTCTTAATGTGTGTGTGTGCGTGCACGTGCATGTATATGTGTATCTGTACACTTACACACATATATATTCATTCCAATATGTAAATACAGAAGATAACTTCAGGTGTTGACTTCTCATTGTTTGAGACAGGGTCTCTTGGATGTTTACAACTCTATAAATCAACACAACTGAGCTTCAGGATACTTTCCTGCTTCCATAGTAGCACCAGATGACAGAAACGAACTACATCCTCCAGTTTAACCAGGTCCTGGGGAATCTGAACTCAGTTCCTCAATTCATGTACAGTAAATGCTTTACCCAATATGCTATCTGCCTTATATTAAATGTAAATTTTCTGTGTAATTTGTTTTGTTCTTTCCAGTTGCCTCATTCAAGGAGAAAGAAACAATCTTCTGAAGATACTAAATCTTAATTTTAATATGATTACAAAAATCACATCATCCCAACAATTATAACAGAAACAACTGATTACAAAGATGACCTTTTGGTTGGAATAAAATGTATCATTTAAAGTCTAATAAAAAGAAAATTAGCCGGGTGGTGGTGGCGCACGCCTTTAATCTCAGCACTTGGGAGGCAGAGGCAGGTGAATTTCTGAGTTTGAGGCCAGCCTGGTCTACAGAGTGAGTTCCAGGACAGCCAGGGCTATACAGAGAAACCCTGTCTCGAAAAACCAAAGGGAAAAAAAGAAAAGAAAAGAAAATTAAATACTTTAGGGATTTGACACTAAAATTTTCTGCAAAGGAAACAAAATATATGTGGTTGTCTCTTGATGACAGACTAATTTTGAAGAATTATGGTTTTGGTTTTCTGTTTAAACAAGAGAAAGATTTATACAAAAGACAGACGTAAAGCACAACACCACTCATTAGAAAAACGCAAGGAGTAAATAAGAACATCATACATAATTATGAATTTTATTTCAATGAACTATTTGAAGTAAAGAAAAATCGATGAAATTAGTATTGATGATAAAGTTTATTTAAGACATGATATCTAAACATATTATTTGTTGTACTATCTATCAAAACTCACACTGTAGTTTTCATATTTGACTATAAGCAATTCATTTCTACTCAGAGTAATATGATGATAAAACTTTGGGAAGTCTTCAGGTTTTATTTGTAGCAGTCTCACAATGACATGATAAACATGTTTATTTTCTGTAAAGATTCTTAAACTTGCCATAGAAACTTGTGTTGGAAGGCTGAAATATTTTTAATTTAATTGGATTCTTTACTTATTCATTTTGTATCCTTCTCACTTGTTCCTGGTTACCCCCTCTCATGATACTTCTCCCATCTCCTTACCCTTCTCTGAGTGGGTGGGAACTCCTTGGGTATTCCCCAGCCCTGGCACTTCAAATATCTTTGAAAACAGGTGCTTCTTCTCCCACTGAGGCCAAAAAAAGCAGCTCAGCTAGAAGAACATATCCCACATACAGGCAACAGCTTTTGGGATAGCCCCTGATCCAGCTGTTCAGACTCATATAAAGACAAAGTTGTATATCTGCTACATATGTGTGGGGAGGGCTAGGTCCAGCTCGTGTATGCTTTTTGGTTGGTGACTCAGACTCTGAGAGTCCCAACTATGCAAAGTATATAGCTGCCCAGTCTTCAGAAATCTGTAAGTCTCCGAAATGTACCTCAAATTAATTCTGTATTCTCTTATAAAACTATATGGAAATACCCTAGATGGTGACGTTTTTGCACCAGGGTGGTAAAAATTTTGTGTATATTTGGAGTTGCCAGGAAGTAGAATGTGAGGCAGATACTTGCATCTGAAGACTTTCAGGGGGAGATGTAGGAAGGGTATCAAGGCTTGGAGATGACCCTGTAATGATGCCTTAGTTCAGACAATGAAGCAGAATATTGTACTGTGTGTCAAGCAGACACTGGATGTGTGCCAGAGCAGGAACACAAACTAGGCCATCATGGCTCCTCATGGAAGAAGCATGTGTAAGGTTCTTGATGAAAGATATTAGTTGGCACAATTCTTTGTTGACATTAAACTGAGTCCCTCATCCTAGAGGAGAACATGTGAGTAAGCAATTTCAATAGTTGATGGTATAACTTCAGCCTTCTTGAACTATTTGCTTCTAAGTCCTGCAACTAGAAATCTAGAGAGTTAATGTGCATCATGAGACTGTAGGTTTAATAGGGCATCACATTTTGACAATGTTTATGTTTATCGAGATATGTACATCTGAGTCTCATTTCATGTATTTTAAATATATAATTTTAATAGGCTTACATCTATTTATGTGTACATGTAGAGGCCAGTGTTCTGTCTTCTGTGCTATTCCTCAAGTACATCTAGTTTGCCTTTGGAAATTGAGTCTTTTACTTTACCTGGGATGCAAAAATTAAAATAAAACTGGGACTTGTCAGTGAATCCCAGGCATCCAACCGGCTTTGTTTTCTCAGCACTGTGTGCTTGGTTTTTTATGTGGATTCTGGGAGCTTGATATAGGCCCTTACTCTTGCATTTTAAAGATATACCAATTGGAAATCTTTCC